AATGTACAATCAAAAGATTAACAAAGAAACTAAAATTTTTTAATATTTCAAGTAATTAAAAATTAATTGAGCATAAGATAAATTTTATATTAAAAAGAAAAAATAAAGAAATTATTCAAAATATTTTAAAATATAAATTTTTATAAATTAAAAGTACGATTTGAATATTTTAATTTATTATTAATGTGTATATAATATAAATTTTAATTCATAAAAAAAATAATATAATTTTAGATAAATTTTAATGAAGTGTAATATCCATTATATATTTTTAATCGTATATAATTTTAGAGATTCCTTTCTGGGACGGTAATAATGTACAATCGAATACCTTTATTGAATTTTTAAAAATTTTATGGCCAATAAACGATGTATATGATATCAATGAAGTGTGAAAACCGATCCTTAACACGTTTCATCACGGTGTGTCACGCTCAATTAAACTTTGTGTACTATATCTCACACATTGCAAAATCAAGTTTTTTTTTATAAGAGATAGATACAAACATAAAAAAAAAATTATTGAAAAATTTGATATACAATAATCCAAAGATTAAAAAGATAGAACATGATAAAAAATTTGAATAAAAGAGACATGTTTTAGAATATTTTTTGTAATATGAGAATACTTATATCATATACATATAACACTATATAGTACTATATAATTTTTTGATTTTGAAAATCAAAATAGTAGCCTTCATTTATTCGGAGATTTTTTAATATAAAATATATAATGGTGATTTATTTGATTTTATTTTCTGTGATCTTTTTGTCTTGAACTATCTAAAAATTGTACTAAATACTAAAAAAGAAAACTAAAGAAAATTGTTATATTACTAAAAGTGATCACTCGAATTACAAAAAATTCTCAAAATTGATCACGAGAATTATCATAAATAGAATTAAATTATTAAATGATATATTCCATATAGCTCCATGTTTCATATAAAATTTTTTTACAGTACTATACAAAAAATAAATATTTGAAAAAAATAAATTAAAAAAATGATAACTAATTTTGAATACAATGTGCATAATTAGAAGAACTTATAATTAGATTTTCTCATATTTTAATAATAAAAAAAAATTATTTGAATTCCATTATTGCTTTTAATTTATTGTAATTTAACATATTTATGAAAAATATATATATATTTTGAATAACAATATAAATTTTTTTATTGCGAATATATATTTTTATTGCGACATATATTTTTAAATAAAAATAAAAATAAAATATTTAAATATAAATATATGCTAAAAAAAAGAATTTATCGTTCAAATTACATTTTTTCAAATAAATTACAAGAATACTTAAATACATGACAGTAATAGATACGGTGAAGAAACGAAATTTCGGTAAGAGTTTCTTCCTATAACATGTTACAAATCGAGCCGTCGAATTTCCGACAAGAACTAATTGCTACTGAAGCAAACTTGCCCAATGTGCAGTTTTTGGATGCATATATCAAAATCGGAGTAGAAAGGATGACCTTAGTTTCCAGATAACTAAAAGTCAGATATCCTGCGAACTTCGAAACAGAAAATGACCGATGATAAATGTTTCCGTTGAACTTATCAGTGGAATGAGCTTGGTGATTCATGGACTTTAGATGTTTGGTCACTCAATGTAGATTATTCAAGATTTACCGATCACAAAAGGAATTTGCACTTTCTATCTGTGCGTAGGATATTGTACGCTATTCATTTTTTAATATTTTTTTAAGATAAAAATAATTAGTAAGAGTAAGAATTTTTTAAAAGTTTTTAAAGATCGATTTTTATAATTATAATATTAATTTACAATAAAAAAATTTTATTCAATAATCGAGCCGCAATTTTCGAAAATCTTCTTATTTTTATTTTTGATTCAAATAGAATTTTTTTAATTAATTTTCAATAATTCTCGAAGATTGTAATAAAAATTTATTAAATTTATCTTTATAATTTATTGTAAAACATAGAAACTACAAATAAAAATTTTTTCGTTAATTTTCGAAAATATTTAGAAATTAAATTTCTAAAAATTTATTCTAAAATTTTTCTTAAAATTCTAAAAATAAAAATTCATAAAAATTCTCTATACAAAACTTTTTCTAATGGTAAAAATCACAATTTTATTTCAAAATTTCTTACAGAAATCAAAAATATGAATTTTTTTCTACTAATTCTCAATAATTAAATCTCTAAATTCTTCTAAAATCATTAAAATTTTTTATATACAACTTCATTAATCCAATCATGATTTCACATATTTAAGATCATATAATTCTCTAAAATTTTGTTCAATCATTTCAAAATAATAGATTTATTTTAATAATCTATAATACAATATTTATTTATTTATTTTTTATTGCACTAGATGTTTATTAAATTTAATAATAAAAAGTAAAATTAGATAGATAAAAAAATAAAGTCAAAATTTTTCGAATGATTTTATGAAAAATAGATTAGAATTCTTTGAATTAGATTACCACATATCATTGTAATTTTAAAAAGATACTATTATTATATTTTATATTATTTTTTATTTTAAATTTGCTGATGTAAGTTCTACCATTAAATGCTTTTTTACTCAGCTCAGTCAACAATATCATGTTACTAATATTGAATGTAATACGATACATAGTGTAAACAAAACTGAAAAATTGAAATAAAAAAGAGACAAAAATTTAAAAAAATATTGTAAAGTTATATATATATAAAGAAATTGAACATGCTTCAAATACTTATTTGTAGAAATAATTTATTATTATACTTTATTACAATTTTTTATTATAAAAATAAAATATTTCACAACAGTACAAATTGCATGATGTTCTAATATGTCATTAGTTTAAATCAAATATAGAAACAATGAGAAATGTGTTCTACAATTCATTGACAAGCCAAATTTGAATATATAAATATTTTCAGGCTTGAACTTTCATAAATGTATCGTATATCTGTTCATTTAATACACATCCATTGAACTCATGCACCACGAGTAGATTTAGCATGCAAAATGATGTAACAGTATACAAAATGTCAATCTATTAACATGTTCATTCTATAAATATATTTCTCGAAACTAACTTGATATCTATTACAATTCTTGAAATTTTTGTTTAAAAAATTCTATTTTTATTCTATTTTTAATTCTAAAAAAAAAAAAAAGAAAGAAAGAAAGAAAAAATTCTGAAATTTTATAAATTTATTAATATGTGAAATATATATACGTATAAAAAAGAAAAAGAGTTTCACAGAAATTTAAATTATGTGTAATTTCTATATGTTTAAACATAAAATGTTTATATAGAATGTTTAAATTATTATTAATTAAATTATTATATTATTAAAATATATTTATATATTATTATATTATTAAAAAATTAATTAAATATTAAATATTGAAATGAAAAATTAATAAAAAAATAATTCATAGAAATCTAATTATGTGTAACTTCTATATGTATGGCATGTGTATCATCATCAAACATTTATTATTCCAAATCAACGTGTTAGCATATTAATCAACACGCAAGGAGAAGTCTAATAGATCTTGAATATCGTCCAAAACGTGTTCAGATCATAAATATTAAGCTGAGTCATAAGTTGTTTGTCGCCCAGTTTATGCGTGATGTTTATTTATTGTATAAAAAATTCATATAACAAGTATATGCAGCATAATCTTCAGAATAAGCGCCATTTGCTTTTTATATAAGATCATATTTTATTTATTCTTGATTATCCTTATTAAATGATATAGTATTTTAAACGAATGAAAAATAGATATTTAAAATATATATATTTTTTTCTTTATAAAAAAATAAGAAAATTATGTATTTTTTAAATAAATCGTATATTTTCATTGTATAATTATGATAAAAAAGATAATAATAATAATAATAATAATAATAATTAATTATCTGTATTATTATACAAAAAGATATAAATATATATATATATTTTTTATTATATTTTATATATAATTTATTATTAATTCATGTGTAATACATTATGATAATCGAAATAAGTAGAAAAAGATTAAAAAATAAGTCAACATTTCAAAAAATAATTTCACATATATCAGATGGCAGCACCATCTTATTATTATTAATGTTTCATTAATTACACGCAGATATCGTGATTATTGATTTGAGTATTCTATCAGTTATTAATATTAATATATTAATGATGATTTCAAAATTTTTTAATAATTTAAAAGTATTTTTTTTTAAATTAAAATTCGTCGAAAACTAATTATTAATTTTCAATTAAAAAAATAAAAAGATGAATGAATTTTTAATAATAAGTTGTTATTTAATTTTTCCTAATATAAATTTAATATTTTTGCACCAGTTATTTTTGTTATTGTAATTAAATATCTATTTTATTACCTTCTGATTATTACTATTGTTTCATAATACTTACTATAACGAAAATTTATATTGATTAGAATATTATTTTCAACGAATATTTTCCGTATCTATCGTGAAAAAGAGCAATGATTCTTATATATAAAAATTTATATAGATACAGATACAACTTTGGAAAATTTTGGAAAATTCGTTGATTAATAATCAAGACAATTTTTATCATAAATATTAAAATCGTGAAAAATATTTAAACACTTTATTAAATTATCAATATAATTGAGTAATAAATCTTTGAATACGATGTAAAAAAAATATTCGAAGAGTTTTTGATTTTATAAAAATTCTTATTTTAAATGCTTATTTTTACAATCGTAAAGTAATCGATTTGAATGATTATTGATTAGATAACAAATTTTCTTTTTTTTTTAAATAAATTTTATTTATCGATATTAAATATTATCGAAATAATATTTATTCTAATTTAATAAAAATAAAATAAATTTAATTACCTCTTCACGGAACCTTTTGACGATCTCTCCTTTCTTTCCAATGATGCTCCCGACCTCCTGCAACAGACAAAATACAAAATACCGTTAGAATCGATGTAAACCATAACTTTTACGATGGTTAGAGCTATAAAGTTCAAAGTACGAGCTCGAATCGCTATCCTTCCTGAGTTACAGTGTTGCAAGGAATTGATCGTAAATACCAGTCGGTTTTTAGCTATCAAATAATTGTTTTGGACTTTATATATAACGATTGGATCAAGAAATTGATTTTTCAAAATATTATCATACTTATAATTATGCTTATAATTTTTTCAGAAACCAATTATTTCAATTACAAAATAATTTTTTTTCCTCTTGTTGAGAAAAATTCATGTGATTTTAGAAATTAAAATTAAAATTCATTAAAATAATTTGGATAAAAATTTTAATTGTAATTAAGATTTTAGATAGAGATATTGAGAAAAAGAATTCAATACATATTGATTTCTGTTCTTATAAATACTAATATTTTTATTTTTTTAAATATCAAATTATTATTTTATTAGTTAGATAAATATATATTTTTAATAGATTAGAATTAGATAATACAAAAATGTAATTTTTGAAGAAATGTTAGAGATAAAATAAAATTCGTCAATAAATTAAAATTGAATTTCATATAAATAATTTTCATCAAAATCACAACTACATTTATTAAAACATTTCTACAAAATTTCTTTAAATTAAATTAATATAAAATAGAATGAAAATTTAGTAATAAACAATTTTTCTCAAAATCACAATTATTTTTATTATAAAAATATCTTAGAATTAAATTTAACATATGTAAATATTAAAATAGTGAATATTTTTCTTCAAAATTTCATTTACTTTCATCACAATTTCAATAATAATATCATCAATAATAATATAATTCCTTCTTCAATAAATTTATATAACGAAAAATTTTTAATTTAAAAACGTTAGAATAACAAATAATTTTCTTCAAAATCATATCTACATTTATTACAAAAAAAAAAAAAATCTCAAAGATAATAATATCTCTGTATTCTAGCGATAAATCCCCTCCCTTAGTATGAAACCGGAAACACAACCGGTACGCAGCGTCAATGGAACGTTTCTTAACAAAAGCGCGCGATTATTTGCGCGATATCACGCGATATGCGTGCTCCTGACATTTGTAATCATTCATTATCGCCCAATTACTCGATTAATAATATACGATATGCATAACAATTAATTTCAAAACATGTTCAATCGAAAACTTTATCGATCTTTATTTCGATGTCGTTTCGTATAGTTTGTTGCTTTTTATAATTTATGCTCGTTTATTTTAAGTTTATTTGTATCATGAATTTTAATCAATGTTATTTAATAAAAAAATAATATTTACGATTATTTTTACATATGTATATCTATAATATATTTCGTATTTTTTAAAGTAAATTTCTAATTGTTTCTTTTTTTCCAAAAAATGTTTCGTGTGGATCCTGCAGTGAGGTTTAGACTATAATGTATACAAGCACCGAGTACACTGTACTATATCTATAATTAAACTCTCGTAGAATGTTTCTATTTCAGAGGAAGATTTCTATTTCAAAGTGATCACAGAAAGCAGTTTAGACAACGTGGATTTTATTACGCTTATTAAAATATCATTATTATTTATTCTTTTGTTTTAATTGTTAGAATTTTTTAAATAATTTATGACACTATTACAAAGAAAATTTCTTAATAAGAAAGATATTGAATATTTGATATAAAATAGAAATATAAAATATTAATATATTCGTAGAATAATTTTTGGATTAATTCTAGAACTGAATACAAAAATTGATGTCGGTTAAGACTTATTTATTAAATTATAAATAATTTAAGTTTGAGTTAGATGAAATGAGGAAGAGAACAGAAGGCAATAAGAATAAAAAAAAGACAAAGAGGTCTCACTTTCTTTCTCACTTTAACTAATTCAATTATTAATTAAAATTCAATTAATTATAACTAACAAATAAATTTCAATCGATATTTTTGTATATTAATTTTTGTATTTATTTTGGTCTCCAGAATCGATTTTTCAAAAATATTCCATGAATATAGTTATTAGCATATCTTTGATATGCAAACATATTTTATGATTTAATAATATTAATATATATTTTTTTATATTAACATATTAACATAATACTGTATACTAATAATAAAAAGTGATAAGAAATTTTTATTTTCCATGCTCATAAAATATAAATTTGCATACTCGCTATTAGTTAGTTATGCAATTTTTTTTTTAATAAACTATTTTCATATAAAATTTATTTCTATGTTATAAAATAAAAAAATTTTTATGGTAAACACTTCTTATAAAATTTTCTTTTCAAGTTTTATAATATATGCATGTCACAATTGAAATTTTAAATGTATACTGTAAATATGTTAAAAAAGTTATTTATAAAATTTAGATAAAATTAGAAATTACATAGAATTTAGATTTGAAATCAACAATATTATATTATATATTATATATTATAATATAATTCAATATAATTCAATTTTGGTAAGAAATATATATTAATAATAAAATATACATATATAATGATATATATATAAATATATAAACAAATTAAAATTAACAAAACACGTTTTTTAATATTATATTATGAAAAATTTTTAATATTATATTATGAAAATTTCTTTTTGAAGTCAATAAGAATAAGTATATTCCAAAAATATGTGTCAATTTAATTCTAAATATGAATAATAAATACGTTAAAAATATCTTTGCAAAATTATGAATTCAATAAATAATAAATATTAAAATATTTATATAATGATCAATAATAATAATATCGAAAAATATTTATTAATGAATCTGTTAATAAAACTATTCTATTGGATTTATAGAATAGTTATATAATATAATATAACAATATTAGAATGTGAAGATAATTAAATTCAATTTCCAGGTTTCCAGACTGATAAATTCTAACAAAGCGTCAGAGGCTTTCAATAACGATGCTTTCTTGTTTCTTTTTGTACTATTTGAACAGAACATGTTAGATATATGTTGTTATACGAAGACATAAAAACTTAGAATACTTATAATGTCATATTTATGACATAAAGGAGAAATGAGGAAAGAAGAGAAAGTTTCAAGTATGAGAAAATATTAATAAGTATTATTAATATGAATTTACGATGTTTTATTATATATGCATGATTTTCAGCGATACCGAAAATTTTCATTTATGTCAAAAAATATATACGTATAACTCAAAATTATATCAATATATTAAAATTTTACGAATATTTTATAAATATATATTTTAATTAAATATATATATATGATGATGATGTCTACATCAATCTCAATATCTGTATAAAAGATATTCTATCTATAATTCTTTAATCTCAAAAAACAAAACACGTTATTTATATATATAAATAAAGTTGATATTAAGAGAATAGAAAAGAATTAATTTACAGATAAAAATGTAGCATATGTGGCAATTGCTTTTATTTCAAACACGTTTCGAATAGAATATCGAATTTTATAATATTGAATTGAGTTAGAGTGTAAAAATGATAAGTATTTATTTATCTATTGCAATATTTATTATAATTTTTTCATAAAAACAATTGTAGCTTTATATTATATGAAATATAATAGAAAATATTATATATAGATATCGAGGTCATTTATTGAACACTCAATGGTGAAGAACTTCCAATGAAGAAAGTTGCATTAGTCACATTTATATAAACGAAATTCAATGTATGGTGTTGAAAGTTTTTCATTATTCTCGAAAAGTAATAAATACCTGAAGCTAAAGTTTTATATTTGAAATCCACTCCATATTTTTGTAACTTTAAAACTCCTACAATTGTAATTTATTTTAAAAAAAAAAACTAATTAAATTTGTTATAAAGATAGAACAAGAACTATCGATTATTAGGAATCATTGAAAAAACAAGAATTCCAGAAATATAAGCGCGTAGATACTTATTATTATGTACTGTCGACAATCAAAGTGTCATTGACGATTATGAAAACGCAGCAGCACAAAAACATGTTGGTCGCGGCGACAATTGGAATGTGTTGAATGAAATGAATGCATTCGAACGACTCGAGGAACTTTCATGCAGAATAAATGTATACATACATGAAATTCGATGCAAAGAAATTTATTGTGATACTAACAATTGACTCGTCAAGAATTTTGTTATAGAATTTGAACGCTTGGTTTTTGATTTCTTGCAAATCAAATTCTATGATATTTGATCAACAGAATATGACTAAGAAATTATTATAAATTCTCAGTAAAATTAGTAAAATTTTATCCATATAGCTGTATATAATAATTAAACAAGAATTTTCTAAATAAATCCGAATAGAAATTTCAAAAATAATAATCCTTTTTAGAACTCAAACATAAAATTCTTACAATTTCTAAATTCTCGAAAATTATCAAAATTATTACGTAACTTTATCCATTAATTTAATTACAGTTTATATGCAAAATCTTTTTAATTAGAAATTTAAACATGAAGATCAAAAATAAAAATTCATTTTAAAATTTTTTAATGAAATGATAAAATCAATAAAATTCTACACAAATCAATCAAACTACAATTTTAAATACAAATATATTTTAGTTCTCAAGAATTCTTCTTAATTATTTTAAAATTCAAAATAATATTGAAAAAATTCTCTTATTATTGAAATAGAAATTAAAAATAAAAAAAAAGATTTTTTTTATTAATTTCCAATAACTTTCAAACATGAAATTTCAAAATTTCTCATATGTAACTCTTGTAAAAATCCTATTATTATTAAACATAAAAATTAAAAATAATTTTTTTATTAATATTATAATAATTCTCATAAAATATAAAGTTTTCTAAAATCCTTTATATGCAATTTGATCCAATGATAAATCAAATCACAGTATAAATATTTTTAATTTTATTATTAATTCTCAATATGCAAAGTATTCATTCCAGAATATTCTAATATATTTTTATTAATAATTTCTATTAATATGCAATTTTCAAAATTTCCT